ATTTGAGAATCCATAGTTCAACACGTGAATTTAATTTCAATTATGTTTCAGTTATGAAAACGAAATCGAATTAAAAGATATGAATCTAGCAGCTATCATTACTTAATGACCCGACCGAAGTTGCTACCTTGACGCGGTGGTCGGGCTTGCCCATCGTGATGACCCAACCGAGCTATATTGGCTGGAACATACGCTCCTGTAGGTCCTGCCATGCCAGGCAGGTCGATTGGAGAACGGTAAGACTGAAAGCAGCAACTCAAGGTCTGAGGCGAAGTCGTACTGCTGACTGTAGAGGGTGTGACAGCAGTAAGGTGTTACCCTCAGACAACTAGCATCACAGCGATGCTGCCTTCTCACAAGGAAGGAAGGGGTTAGAAAAGGTCGACCCTAAAAGTGTCTCACCTTACCTCACAGATATCCGTCTCCGGCGGTAAGGCCTTTGAAGAACGGAGCTAATACGTCACCCCCCCCACAAAAGGCTGTGCGCGGCCGGTCTCAAGCAGTTGTCCCTTGGGCTCTGCGGTCACGCTCCCAGGTCGTTAAGACCGACATTAATCCGACGTCTTTTTCAGGTTCCCCAATAAATACCCTTCCACGGTGTGGGCAGCTGGGAAGTGCTATCAGCCTTCATACCCGTAACAGCACACGAGACCAAGTCGGTCACATTCAAATCCTTCCTACACCTCATTACGTAATGTCTACATTAGTCAGATAGTTGTTTATGTGGAGGTAAGAAACAGTAGTATACAGAATGTCAATTATTTCATGAAGAATGGTCATATGTATCTTCAGAAATACACAAATTAATGTAGCCCCTAACATATTTATTTCATCTACTGTTGAAGAGATTTGTGATATACTTCTGTATACTTCGAAGTAGGTGTGTGGATGAACATACTAATATTTTCGATGAAACTTGGAAAAGCCTCAATTAGTCCTGAGAGCTATTTATTAAGATAATTCACTAAAGAAAAATAACTTGATGAGACTATGATTTATCGAAAACCTTTATTCGATGCTAAAGTGGACTTTCTAATAATCACCTATTTATTGGGTCAAGAGAAGGCTGCAATTTAGTGTGTGGAGCTAGGATTATGATTTAAAGTTAGACGTTAGTGTTAAGAATTAGACTTTTCACTGCGAACTGACAGATATAGTTCCGAAATGTTATTCAGTCATATGAATAGATGGGTTTTGCGCTAAGGTCTAGGGACTGGTCCGTCCATAAATTATGACCTTACCAACAGCTTTTTCCAAGTAGATAACGCTTTCAAGACAGGCAGAATAATGAAATTTTAGGAAAAGTCTCAAATTTCTATTATTTGAATATTGTAAAACCAACGTTTCATCATATACCAGTTCGTGCATTTGGTAAACAAGTTAGAGACCATGGAGAATACCTCTAGCTTGTGATGGTTATGTTGGATGTGTTATGTTATTCTCCCGCCCTGGAAGACATGACAACAATAAATAGACAGATAACATAAACTGAATAATCATCAATTTATATGTTTTTTCAGTATTTCAAACCAGTTATCTTTTCTTCAGTAGGTCGAACTTCACGAAATAAAGTATTCTCAAATACAGGTATTGAATTCATTTTCTTGTTAAATTTGAAATGTTTACATTGTGATCAAATTATCAAATTCAACCATCAAATAATGAAATGTTAGCCGAGGTTATCCACGAAGTTTTAAGTGTTCAATCATCGCTAATGACGATATATTACACTTGTTACATTCAAAATCACCGCAACACAATAACAACGATTGTCATGTGGTGATAAATGTGTAACGTTAATAGAAAATTGCTGAATTAATCAATGAAGTTTGCCGATGTCAGGTATGAGATAAATAATTACATTTAATGGCAATCTGGTAATAATACAGATTGATTGTTATCAGGAATATGAACCAATGAGAAGTTAGGCGCTCCCTGCGATGCCTGAAGTTGCTGGATTCGAACATTGGAATGAGCGTGACTTCACACTGTTACGAAGTCCCAAATTTGGATGAAACTTCTGTCAAGTTTCTTTGAGGTTTTTAATGATTGTCCAACCAAATTTAATATGTAGTGTGAAATTTCGGATTCAAAAAACTGCGTAACATTCTCTGATGAAATTTCATATCTAAATTCAATAACTTCATCAGCTAATGACACATTCTGATATGACTATATGAATCCTTTAAAAACCTATTTTCATGGTTTTCGGCAAAGTATGTTAGTGGATCTATTGGCTGAATATGTGTAACATATAACTTAACTTCATCAGCTGATGAAATTTTACAACTCTATCAACTGATTTACAGTTTCTTTACATATTTTAAATGTCTTGAAGTCTAAGAAATTGAAATCTCTACAGCAACCTAAAAGCCAAATGATATACAATGTAAAGTTTGAATAGCTTAATAAAAGGTTATTTACAAAAAAGTCGATTTTGTTGATAAAATAAAACATAAAAATAGTGTCAAGAGTAAAATAACTTTGTTATTCATGAATAGTGTTGTAGCTTTATTACAACCATCTCTGTCTTGGCAGTAGCAGACTTCTTTGTAAACACCTTGTGCTTCAAACCAATAACGACAGCTCCAGGCTAAACCTAAAATAAAAGTCATTTTGAATGAAAGGCTGCTTTTCTGTACAATTTGAAAAGTTAATAACTAATTTAAATGTTGAAAACACAGAACTTAACTAATAGGCAAATGTCTCACTACTACTGACTGCGTTATTATATTTCCTATTTCGACATATGAATGTCTTCACACACAAATGAGTTGGCAAATCCATTGGGATATGAAGCATTAATTTATATACTTTTGAAGCCTACTTGGATGATGAATTCTTTTTTTAACAACAGCTCATTTGACAGCATATTGTTTTTTTCTCTCAAAGGCTGTTCTTGATCTCCATTTCAAGACTATGGCAACGTAATATAAACTTTTTGAAAATGAGTAACGGATGAGTTGTGATGGTAAATGACTTACATTCAACTTATCAACGTCAACGAGCACTTTTTTTTATTACCACTTCTCCGGTCACAGTCTTAGTATATACTTCAATCATATCTCAAATGCAGATTTGTTGGAATTCAATGAAGAAGCACCTTACTACGCTGCACTTGTATTGCGATAGAAGCAAATGTGGAAGCTGAAGTATTGACCAGTGCAGACGGACTCCTACAAGTGATCGTTTGATATCAGAATCATCTTTCCAATCAAAAAATATGTCTCATTGGTCAGTGCATGTTTTTACTACGTTATTAAGTCGCTGTAAAAATCAAGTCACATCCAAATCCCTATGATGTATTACTGACATAAATTCCGCGCACTTAGCTTACGAAATAATTTCACTCATCACGTTTTCAACAGGGTACAATGCATAAATCGGTTGAGAGTGGTTCCGAAAGATCAACTTTCTCTTAATGTTACTTTCGGACTCAAAAGACATCTGTCTTAGTTTACGAGCAGTATAACTTTTCAAAAAAACTATTCTATAAGTTGGTCTCGACATCTTTTAATAGAACTTTGAGAATTCAGAACATTCGCTTTTTGCCATTTATTGTCAAATCCAGTTTCGAGAACTAATTGTAAAAATATTTGAGCGATAGTACCACAAATTGGTGATAATATCCTAAAACACAAGTATATGTTTTTCATGTAGTTGTAACCTATTCTGTTACATTTAATAGTGATTTTTATTATGTTATGGACATTAAATTTTGTTAAATCCGCAATAACGGTTGCTATCACAGATATTATTTCATGAAACAATGATTATCTTTTCTAAAATCCAACTGTCCATGTACAAACATTTTATTTCAAATACATAAGCGAATCCTTAAATCATGCAAAGACATCAAACACGTGTAGATTTGATGTGATTCAAAACTTATTTCTCATCACAAAACAGTCATTGATTAGAGTTTACACATTTTTCATAATCAAACAAATAAGGAGTATTGTTTTACAGTCTGCAGACGTTAAAGAAACATGATTATGGTTCATTTAAAGATATGGAAACCATGAGTCATATGCATATCAATGAGGTCACTCCATAACTATCAATCTTAATTATTGCCCCCCCATATTAGAATTATGGGCAATTAAGAAGGTCCGCCAAATTACGAGCGCGTGGGCATTTCTCATTTTTAAATTCAGATTTCAAGGAAGGAGGTTAGTAATAAAACTGTTCCTAAGTTTTACATATAAATTAGAGTTGATAGACTTGTGACTGAACATCGAAGTTAAGTTGAGGCAATTCAATGAGGCAAATTACTTTAACATAAGATTTTAAATATCTCACCATAGTCAGTTCGTGCACCACAAGTCCGTGTGACTTTTATCCATGAATGCCAACCAGTGCTTTCTTGATAAATTTTTACACAAAATGTTCCAGGTGAATGTGATAAAAAACTACCACAATCTATCATTGCATTAAGTCTAGTATCGAAAAATCTTCCGGCTGGACACGAATCATCTTCATTACTATCGCACTGATAACATCGAATAGCCAATACTTCTAATAGGTTAGAAAATTCAAGTATACAAAATTATTCGATCAATATATCTGGCAAGATCAGTTACCAAAATCTCTGAAAGAAAACAATTTACCTGTAAACCATTTTAGTAGTAAATGATGATGTAAGTAACTCCTGTCGTGCACCTTACTTGAAAAGTACGTTATAATGAGGTAATATTATGATGTGAATTTGCGAACTCAATATCAAAATTATTGTCCAAGTAATCGAGTTTCACCAAAAATTTTGTAGGTTCTCTATAGTATAAAAGCTACAAGTATGCTTTTAGACAAGTTATTTGGAATAAGCGCAATATGTTTCATACTCTGTATAATTCTCTAAATTCTACTTCACAACAATTCAATAAGGCACAACTTCATTTTCTGCAAACTGTTGTTGATTATAATAGTTGTTTTTTACGACTTCAAAAAATAAAGTATGTCATAATCTGCGTGCATATCCAATGATACGATGAAACTATTTACGTCGAAACATTTTCGAATTCTATGTGATGCTACATAGTATAATTAGAATTTTGGCACATCTGAAACAGGCAATTCACTCCATATATCCTGCATTTATTATATGTATTTACATTGTTATATCTGATCATTTGCCGGACACATATTAACTAGAATATGATCCATAACCGTTGGTAAAATCTCCCCTTTTTAATCGAAGTTTCAAACTTGTGGTCATCTCAATGAAAATGACTATAGCCATAGGTACACCTACTGTAGGAGTTAAGCAGTAGGTTTTCATTTTTCCGAAAGACACAAATAGACTATCTAGATAATCACGTTTTAACTGGTGAACCTGGAGCAATTGGAAATGCTTCATACTTGCCTAGGTGAAACATAATTGAAACAATGGTGTCTTCCCATAGCCAAATTTTTAAAGATTTGAATAGCTTTTGTATGAGTCCATGCGAATTATTTTGAAAGCAGTTTTATATACAACTAGGTTTCCGGACAATGTGAATGTATTACTATTTTTTAAAAGTTCTTTTTGCTGTAAATAACCTAGAGAAGTCTACTCTCGATAGTATTATGCAAAATATACTGTCAAATAACCAAATACTTAGACAACGATAAGAACTAACCATTCTCGTAGAAAAGCAACAAAATGTAAACAGGAAACAACAGTATAAACATATTTGAAGGCTTGCCGCTTTTCGCCCTTGAAAGCAGTAAATGTTAGATAAGAATAACTCACCAGTTAACTAGCTTCCGTGTTTGCGTGTTGTAAATAACAAAATTCGGGAAGTTGTACATAAATGAGACTTTAAAATAGATAATAATTAAATAGCCAAATTCACAATCACAATTTTTAATCTATTTTACTAATCTTAATATATAAACTTCTAGCTGGAAGAATCAAGTGGTATAACCGACGGTGTGAAAGTGAGTTCATGCTCGTTGTTTTCTTCATTGCATGCCAAAATGCATCTCTGGTTTTTTGAGTAGTGAATGAGTATTATCTGCGTCATTTTAAGTTCAACACACGAAATTGTTCCTGTTTGTTGCAACTATAAGTGTTGCGAAGATTATCTAGCTATTTTCCTATATATGCTTTCAAAGGAGAACCATCGGCAATTTATTTAACCCTGAATAACGCACTCAACATGCCCATAACACTTAAAAGACGTAGTCAATAGCTTCACTCGACCATACTTTCCTCACTTTTGGTTGCACAATCAATAACTCTCCTTTGATAATATTTTCGTTGATAAGCACTCATATGTACGAACTGTTGAGCTTAAAACTATAGAACGCCTGCAACCCAGAGATGATAATAAAAATGTGATGGCTAAACCGCCAACTTCCTTTTCGAAGATATCAAAAACTAGAGATATTATTCAAGAGCTTCCACCGCCTATATATGAAAACTCACTATACTCTTGGATTTCCTCTCTTTGAGATGGAGTGGATTCTTATTCTCCTGTAGCTCAACGATATTTATCCCGTTTGATCCATGTTCTAGATCTATTATTAACTTGGTCTTCAATCTTTGCATTCGATCTAGGAGATTTATGTCTATCTTGAAGAGAGGGGCCTCAACAAGACTGGAAATAATGTATGGTTGTAGAATTATGGTCGACTTTGTTATTAGCACCCTTGTAACAATAGCCCTAATCCCATAATTATAAATATGTCATGATGTGACCACCTTATCTATAAGACCTTCTTGGAAGTTACACTAATGTCTCCACTGACTCATCGTATCGTAACAATTAACAGTATGATGTTTCGAGTTTGTAAAGGACACGTTTAGGGTAAATATAGAATAATATATTTATGGAGAGTGAAGACAAGTTATACAGAGTGACCAAGTCTGCGAGGCTCAGCCATGTTATTCGGTTTATTTCAATTGAACACTCTCGCGTTTTTCATTGTTGGCCTTTTCTGCGTGTTATTTTTGAATATTCATTTTCCCAATTATTTTACATTCAGCTTCGAGAACTGCGTGGTTTTGACCAATGCTGCGATTTCGTGTAGAAATATTTGAACAAGTGACGGTAATATGCGTAGTGACAATCGTTTGCTTATAGCTTAACTCACGGGTAGTATAATTATTTTGTGTTTAGAAATAGGAAAACAATTAATGTTGTATCATTTTCGATATTATTATTGCCTCTGGTTCATATTAGAAAGTCAGTTGACGTTTATGTTGCCATGCTATCCGTATGAGTTGCATTTCATTTGCATTTGCATTAGTAGGCTAGCTGAAAGAACAAAACAATACCGTGGAAAAGAGGAATTTTAACCAGTTAGTCAGTTTATTGAGTTTGATAAAGTTAGTTCAGGTACGGGGAGATTTTGTTGACCTCAATATTACTTTACCGTGCTGGAATTTGGTAATACTGCTAATATATAGGAATAATTATCAGAACTTCTTTTAGGTGAGAATAATGATAATCGTGTGTACTTTGGACAGATACTCAAACATGACTGTATTCATGAGAGATGCTCTAAACATAATGAAATAGGCTATTAGTTTATATTCATGCCTATCTGCTGATAATGCATCCAAGTTCGTTGCAAATATAGGACTAACCATTAGGTAGAAAACAAATTATCAGAAATATAGTGATTAAAAATTATTGAAATCGACAAAACTGTTTTTCTACAAACATAAGTGGTGAGGCGTTGCACGATGCTTTCGGCTATATAATTCTTTACAAGATGAACAATAGTGGGTGTCGTTCATGTGATTATCTACGAGAACCTAAGTTGTAACCAAGAGTATTGCAACTCTAACCTCATGTCTATGATACTGATTTGAACTTCTGTCAGTTATGAGGTAAGTTCGACAATATTATCAGTGTTCAGGAGGTTTGCTCAACTTCTTATATCTGTTGTCGATTTATTATTCTGGTAGTAAATCAGCAGGGAAAAACGCAGTGTATAAACTTGAAAGAGATCAACTATTCAAATACGATGGTGAAAGGGTGGTCGGTTATCAGTGTAGATCGACAATGTAACGCCAAACGTGAAGAACACACGTCTTTGCATACACTCACCCTGTCTGACTGTTATTTGGGGTCTTCAATAAGAACATTCCTTCGTCATACATCTACTCAAAATATGATGTTCTCAGTGAAAAAGACCGTTATTTGGTCAATTATTAATATTTTGGCCTCATATATGGGTAGTATGTCGCCTTAACATAGATATAGATTTTACAGTCGATGGAAAAATTACTTCTAGTTAGTTGGCGGTTGATTATTTCATCATTTCAGCTTTCAGCTGTGTGTGCAAACGTTTTCTATCGACCCGGGACCACAATGATATGCTTAACTTACAAATGACCTAACTTTCAGTGATATATATATACTGTTCACTAATGGATTTCATTGGTACTATGTATTCCTCAAAGATCTTTCGGCTTATCAGTATGAAAATAAGGTAAACAGAAAATGTTCATGCAAATGGTTTAACTGCTCAGTATCCATTGTTGTTTCATATGATTTAGACGCTGATAACACTATCTAGAATAAAGATGAAGGCTATTTAATTAAACTGACTTCTTCAGAGTAAACAATGTCACTAAAATCACCTATCTGACCAAAACATTTCTTAGCAATTGAGCAGCCTGTAGATCTAGTGCTATCTTATTAAATTCTCATTATGCTTTGAATTATCTGTGTTACCACGATTAAATTTGTAACTCATAGTATTACTGAATGGTGTTACTGTATCCCAATATTGATGTCTATATTTAGGCGTGAAATTTGAAGCAGTGAGGGCTAAATATAGTGGTAGCAATAACAATGAGGAATATAAAGTATTGAAAGAAAACTTTTCACACCCTTTAGTACCAACCTATCACATTAAAATGGCTCCCATGTATAATAACAGTCGCAACTTCTTCCAGTTACGCGCAGCAAACCGTCTCACGCTAACGTAAATAGCCATAAGAGAGGCTACGTGTCTAACCATCAAGACTATTTTGCAAATAACCATACACTTCGCAGTGGGCCTGCACAAGATTTTTTCGATTAAGACATCTGGTGGAGAAGATTTGTAGCTCAGGTGGACGATTTTGGTAGAGTTTTGTTCTCTGAGCTCAGAGACCTCCTAGTGACACCTCTATTGAAGCACATAGCCCTAGTTATTTCAAACCACATGCAAACCATGAATTTGTTTCCTCCGTACAGTGTTTATCAGAGGGCACTCGCACCCTTTCCTCCTGGGTAAACGCCCCAATCAACTTTCATAACTCATTTGATACATCTCCCACTTAGTCTAGCTATCAAAATACCGAGCTAATGAAGAACATTCAATCCCCCAATTCAAACTCATCTCACACCCTCGAGGGTTTATCCGAGATACCCCCACCCATTTTAATTAAGTAGGCCACTTGTATAATATATGTCTTATCAACGCTCGATCGATCTGCAACAAAAAGACGGATCTAGCTCTGTTTGTATCCATATATCAACCATCACTTATAATGATACATGAAGCATGGACAAACAGTAATATTTCCGACCGAAGTATATTTTTTGATAACTTTTTCCTATATAGAAGCGATAGATTGAATAGACGAGACGGAGGATGTCTTATTTACGCTCACTCTAGCCTAAACTCACTACAATGTGATATGCCTGAACTAAACAAATTGAAGGATTCGGTGTGGATTGTATTAAAGCCGTCGAATTCCGTTACCTTACTGCTCGGCTGTGTTTATCGTCAACCTAACGCATCAATAGATGAAATAGCAGTATTATCGGAGGTATTCACACTAGCATCATCCCTTCCATTCACAGGCAAGCTTATTTGTAGTGATTTCAACATGTCCCTAATTTCTTGGCACCCAGTCAAAGCGTCGAGACGTTATGAATCATCTATTGAATGCTTGGAGCTTGGACAATGGACTCAGTATGCCAATAACCCTATCAGACATAAAAACATTTTGGACTTTGTCTTTACCTGTGTCTTTATCCCTAATACTTTGTATATTGGAAAATATTTTCCAGGTGGTGATCATAACATTGTCATATGCAGCCTTGATGTAAAAACACAACCGGTAGAAGTAAAGCCGTAACACTTCGTAGAAACTATCACAAGGTTGATTGGAATAACTTCCACAATTACCTAAGAAACACTTACTGGAGAACTTTTTTTTACTTCAAGCAATACCGGCACATTAACCAATATATTTTATCACAACATCAAAAGTATCATCAACAACATCCACCATTAGAATACTGTAGACCTGCGTTCTCCAAAAATCTCTATTTGCCGGTGAACACTTTTGTTTCTCACTAACGAAAAACCATTTAATGATTCAGAACCAATCCCAGTAACTCCCTGTGAAATTACTAATGTAGAATTCAGTGTACAAAATATCAATCAGTACATTGAAACACTCCTACACTGATGGACCAGATGGTATCCATCTAGCATGCTAAAACGTGGAGGTGATGATATGTGTGTTTTGCTTCTCAAACTATTCGCGATATCACTCTCTTCAGCGTGTTACCCTACTGCCTGGAAAACTACACATATCATTCCCAAAATTAAAACAGGACCTGAAGCAAACGTTGAAAATTACCGGCCTATAAACATAACTTCAGTGGTATCCAGAGTGATGGAAAAAGTAGTTAAGGCGGCTGTAGTCCAACATCTACTAACAAATAATCTCATCT